CCCCCCCCCCCCCCCGCCCCACCAGCGGCTGCTCCGCTGCCCTGTTTGCACCGGAACCTGGCAGTGCTGCTGCCTGCCCCCGTCTCCCGGCCTGGCTGCACCGACCTGCAGGCTCCGCTCTCTTTCCCAGGTGGAGAGCTCCCCGCAGAGAAGCTCCTCGGGAGGGGAAACGGCAGCTGACCAGAGCCAGACCAAGGAAGCGGCAAGTGACCAGAGACAAAGCTGGGACCCTCGGTCCCCAACCCTCGGCATCTCACGCACCCCTCTGAAGGCTGCGGTGACCGGTAAGTATGTGTCTTCTCTAGGACTGTGACTTGTTCCCGGGCTCGCTGGAGCTTGGGAGAAGAGAATTCTGTTCAATCTATTGCTCTGGGCCACTCCCCAGACTCCGATTCCACAGCGCTGGGGATGGCTCTGGAGTACCTTTCCCTGATTGTGTCTATTTAAACTCTCCCCCGTCCCCACACACGCACACATTGCACTTCACTCAAGTTTTTGTGCCCTTCAGATGATTCTTGCTTTATCTCCTCTATTCCTGGCTCTGCTGAGTGAGGTGAACTTAGCTCTAGAAGTCTCCCACCAAAATTTCACTACCCTGGCTCTCTGAGCATTTCTTAATTCTTCTCTGAGCATACTCCAGTTTGTAATTGTCTGAGACTGACTGGGCCAGAGCTGGGTACAGTGTAACAGGTGGCGTGTCGCTGCCCACCCTCCTTGCCCCGGCTCTGTTAAGGTACCTTATCCTCACCTCCCCAGACACCATAAATTGTTTGGTCAAGCAACTTGATGAGGCCTTTGGAACAGAGACCATGGATCAGGAGTCACTGCTGGAAGAGCTATTAGACCAGAGACCAAATCTTGGAGCTGCCCCTATCCCAGGGGAGGAGACAAATGGAAAGAACCCTCAGGGGGAAGACTCTGACAGGGATGCATCTGAAGAGAAGATACCAATGTGGATGGAGGAAAAGGCAAAACAACAGCTTTCCAGTGCTTGTGCTCAGTCTGTAATGAGGTCATCTTGCTTCATTGACCCTCCCCGCACCTCAGGTGAGTGTATGGGTTCAGGGCCTCCCTTTGTGTGGGGGTTGCAGGTTCTGGGGAACTGACAGTGCCCTCCCCCAGGAGATGAGAAGGGGCCAGGTTGTTGGAAGGGTGTCAGTGTCCACCAAAGGGATGGGGGATCCAGAGAAAGTGATAAGTCATAAGGGCATGTTGGTATGGGTCCCTAGGAAAAGTGGAGCAGCAGCAGCATTGCCCCCCTTGTGTGGACTATGAAGGGCACAGGAAGTATGTGGAAAGGGAAGTAACCCAGCTGAACCTTTAGAATAGTGGACTCTTGCAGAGATGTAGGAGTGCAAAACCCCAGGGTTCTGATCTAGTTATGAAAATGGAGAAAATGTGGACAGACTGATTATTCCTGCTCCCTAGACCCAGCCCTCACTCCCACACCAGCCACCACCCTGTGGTGCATCTCGTCCTGCCCCTACCAATTTCTGTCTTCATCACCCATCCCTGCTCCTTTTCCCTGCCATCAGTCACTTGCTGCCTCTGTTGTGCTTTAATTACTTGCTGGAGAGAAGGGAAAGATGAATGGTAGACAGCATTGCTTGTTTTAAGTTGAGGGCATTTAACTGTTAAGGTTGACTAATTGCTATGGGGTTGAGTGGGACAGTTTGTAGGTGCCTCAGCCAGAAATGGCAGTTTTCCCATGGTGATGTGTCTATAGCATCAGAGAGAAAGGTGCTTTTAATAAGGGAGAGCGACTTGAAGAGGATATTTTTCCCCCATCTGAAGCTGGAGCCTGTGGCCTTGCTTATAAGTATGGCCTCTGGGCAGGGGCAATGGGACCCCATACCCCACACTCAGGAGGGGAGAGTAGCAAAGGATCAATGCATATGGTAAGTGTATGAGTTTGGGGCCTGCAGTGAGATTAACCACTGGACCAATTTATCCGTGTGGATGGAATCTTTATCTCTTCAGCCTTTAAAATGGGAATAGAGATGTAGCCGTGTTAGTCTGATCTTGCTGAAACAAAAGAGAGGACTATTTGGCACTTTAAAGACTAACAAGATGGCTTATTAGGTAATGAGTTTAATAAACCATCTTGTTAATCTTTAAAGTGCTACATTGTCCTTTCTTTTGTTTTAAAATGGGATTGAGCTCTTTCTATGGCTTTGTCTACAGCAGCAACTGAATGACAAAATCAGTAGTGCTCCTTCCTCCTCTGGTGAACAGTGTTTGCCCTTAAGAGGGCACTCTCCTGCTGACAAACAGTAGCTACGCTGTGCCACTACAGCTGTTCCACCACGTCACAAAAAGCTGCATAGTGTAGACCAAGGGCGGCCAACCTGTGGCTCCAGAGCCACGTGTGGCTTTTCAGAAGTTAATATGCGGCTCCTTACATAGGTACCAAATCCAGGGCTGGAGCTACAGGTGCCAACTTTCCACTGGGCCGGAGGGTGCTCACTATTCAACCCTCAGCTCTGCCATGGGTGCTATCCCCCTCCATCCTTTTCCCCCTAGGATCCTGCCACTTCCCATCCTCTCCACTGAGCCTGTCACACCTCCAGTGTCTCCCACTGAGAGCGTGGGCAGGAGGAAAAGGGGGAGGCGGCACTGATGGTGGGGCTGCCAGTGGGCGGGATGTGCTGAGAGTGGTGGTGGGGAGATGATCAGGGCTGGTGACATAGAACTGTTGCTCTTTGGCAATGTGCATTGGTAAATTCAGGCTCCTCCTCAAGTTTAGAATGGCCACATCTGGTGTAGACAAAGCCTAAAAATGCTCTAGCTCACTTCCAAGTCATTGGGCTGCTGTAGAAGTCATTAGCTGAAATTCTCTGGCCTTTTCTATGCAGAAGATCAGACTAGATTATCAGGCCAGAAAGGGCTATAAAATTGCTGAAC